ATCATAGTGTGGTACTAGTGTACCATCATGATGCTGTACTAGTGTACTTCATAGTGTGGTACTAGTGTACTATCATAGTGCTGGTACTAGTGTACTATCATAGATGCTGGTACTAGTGTTACTATCATGATGCTGGTACTAGTGTACTATCATGTGCTGGTACTAGTGTACCTATCATAGATGCTGGTACTAGTGTACTATCATGATGCTGGTACTAGTGTACTATCATAGTGTGGTACTAGTGTACCATCATGATGCTGGTACTAGTGTACCATCATAGTGTGGTACTAGTGTACCATATCATGATGCTGGTACTAGTGTACTATCATGATGCTGGTACTAGTGTATATCATGATGCTGGTACTAGTGTACTATCATATGCTGGTACTAGTGTACTATCATGATGCTGGTACTAGTGTACTATCATAGTGCTGGTACTAGCTGTATCTCATCATAGATGCTGGTACTAGTGTACATCATGATGCTGGTACTAGTGTACATCATAGTGCTGGTACTAGTGTACTATCATGATGCTGGTACTAGTGTCCATCATAGTGCTGGTACTAGTGTACATCATGATGCTGGTACTAGTGTACCATCATAGTGACTGGTACTAGTGTACCATCATGATGCTGGTACTAGTGTACATCATGTGCTGGTACTAGTGTACCATCATAGATGCTGGTACTAGTGTACATCATAGATGCTGGTACTAGTGTACTATCATGATGCTGGTACTAGTGTACTATCATGATGCTGGTACTAGTGTACTATCATGATGCTGGTACTAGTGTACCATCATGAGTGCTGGTACTAGTGTACCATCATAGTGCTGGTACTAGTGTACTATCATGATGCTGGTACTAGTGTACTATCATGATGCTGGTACTAGTGTACTATCATAGTGCTGGTACTAGTGTACATCATATGCTGGTACTAGTGTATATCATGATGCTGGTACTAGTGTACTATCATAGTGCTGGTACTAGTGTACTATCATGATGCTGGTATAGTGTAGCTATCATAGTGCTGGTACTAGTGTACTATCATGATGCTGGTACTAGTGTACCATCATAGTGCTGGTACTAGTGTTACTTCATGATGCTGGTACTAGTGTACTATCATGTGCTGGTACTAGTGTACTATCATAGTGTGTGGTACTAGTGTTACATCATAGTGCTGGTACTAGTGTACTATCATAGTGCTGGTACTGTGTCTATCATAGTGCTGGTACTAGTGTACTATCATGTGCGGTACTAGTGTACCATCATAGTGCTGGTACTAGTGTACCATCATAGATGCTGGTACTAGTGTACATCATAGTGCTGGACTAGTGTTACTATCATAGTGCTTGTACTAGTGTACTTCATAGTGCTGGTACTAGTGTACTATCATGTGCTGGTACTAGTGTACTATCTATGCTGGTACTAGTGTACTATCATAGTGCTGGTACTAGTGCTACATCATAGTGCTGGTACTAGAGTACTATTCATATGTGCTGGTACTAGTGTACTATCATAGATGGGTACTAGTGTACTATCATGAGTGTGGTACTAGTGTACTATCTTGAGTGCTGGTATAGTGTATATGACTTATCATAGTGCTGGTATAGTGTACATCATAGTGTGGTACTAGTGTACCATCATAGTGCTGGTACTAGTGTACATCATGATGTGGTACTAGTGTATAATCTGTGCTGGTATAGTGTACATCATAGTGCTGGTTGTGTACCATCATGTGCTGGTACAGTGTCTATCATAGTGCTGGTACTAGTGTACTATCTGTGCTGGTACTAGTGTACCATCATGTGCTGGTACATAGTGTACATCTGTGCTGGTACTGTGTACATCATAGTGTGGTACTAGTGTATATCATGTGCTGGTACTAGTTGTACCATCATATGTGGTACTAGTGTACATCATGATGCTGGTACTAGTGTATATCATATGCTGGTACTAGTGTACCATCATGATGCTGGTACTAGTGTTACCATCATGATTCATGGTACTAGTGTACCATTCATAGTGCTGGTACTAGTGTACATCAGATGCTGGTAATGTGTACCACATAGCTGGTACTAGTGTACCATCATGATGCTGGTATAGTGTACTATCATATGACTGGTACTAGTGTACCATCATGATGCTGGTACTAGTGTACCATCATGATGCTGGTACTAGTGTACCATCATGATGCTGGTACTAGTGTACCATCATGATGCTGGTACTAGTGTACCATCATGATGCTGGTACTAGTGTACCATCATGATGCTGGTACTAGTGTACCATCATGATGCTGGTACTAGTGTAACCATATGATGTGGTACTATGTACCTCATGATGCTGGTACTAGTGTACCATCATGATGCTGGTACTATGACTCATGATCCTGGTACTAGTGTACCATCAGATGATGGTACTAGTGTACCATCATGATGCTGGTACTAGAATGTCGTAGACCATCATGATGCAGGTAATGTGTAACCTACCATGATGCTGGTACTAAGGTCCATCATGAGGGCTGTACTGTTACCACCATGATTGGTATAGTGTACCATCTGTGTGGTACTAGTGAACACATGATCTGGTATAGGTATCATGATGCTGGACTAGAGTACATCATGATGCTGGTACTAGTGTCCTATGATCTGGGTATAGTGACCATCATGATGCTGGTATTAGTGTACCATCATGATGTGGTATCTAGTGTACCATCATGATGTGGTATAGTTCCATCATGATGTGGTACTGTGTACCACATTTATGTGTTTCTAGTGTAACTCATGATGCTGGTACTAGTGTACCAATGATTGGTATAGTGTACCATCATGAGCTGGTATAGTGTACCATCATGATGCTGGTACTAGTGTAACATGATGCTGGTACTATGTACCATTTATGTCCTGGTACTGTGTTCCATCATGATTCTGGTATAGTGGTACCATCATGTGCTGGTATAGTGTACATCATGATGCTGGTACTAGTGTACCATCTGGTGCTGGTAATAGTGTACCATCATGATGCTGGTACTAGTGTACCATCATGATGCTGGTACTATGTGTACCATCATGATGCTGGTCTAATGTAATCATGATGCATGGTATAGTGTCCATCATGATGCATGGTTCCATCATGTGCTGTACTGTACCATCATGATGCTGGTACTATGTACATCATATCTGGTACAGTGTAACCATCATATTGGTACTAGTGTACCATCATGATGCGGTACTAGTGCTGATGCAGGATAGGTAAACCCTCTGATGCTGACTGTTACCATCATGATGCTGGTCATGTACCATCTGATGTGGTACAGTGACCACATATGCAATGTGCACCATCATTGAGCTGTACTAGTGACATATAGGTGCTAGTGTAAAATCATGATCTAGGTAAATAGGTACCATCATGATGTGGTACTAGGACCATCATGATCTGGGTATATGTACCAACTGACAGGTACTAGATGTAACATCATGATGCTGGACTAGTGTACCATATGAAAGTGGCACATCGTAACATACTATGCTGGTACAGTGTCCATGCATGATGCTGGTACAGGTCCATCATGATGCATGGTACTAGTGACCATCTGATGCTGGTCTTGACCCTCGGGTGCTGGTTTAACTCCTCACCATCATGATTGCAGGTACTAGTGTACACATGGCTGGTACAGTGTACCTCAATCTCGTACTAACCATCTGATGCTGGTACTGTACAATCAGTGTGGTCAGGTACCATCCTCGGTACGTACATCAACTATCTAAGTGTCCTCATGGTGGTATAGTACACAATCTACTGTAACAATCTATCTGGAAGCTCTACCTCAGATGTGGCCAGTACCTCATAGTTCTAGTTAATCTCATGTGGCTACTTAGTGTACATCTGGGCTGGTACTATCCACCTTCATGATTCTGGACAGGCCCCAAAAAATATGTAATCATAGGGTATTTTTTACCCTAGTTTAATAAGGCACAACAAATTTATTGGAAAAATAATTCAAACATAAAAAGAACGTTTTAAGGGGAAAAAAAAATAATTAAAATGAAGGTGAAAACCCACTTAAGGTTTAATGGTGATTTCAACCATTCTGGGAAAAGGGGGTTTTAAATTAAATTTCCCAAAAAAATTGTTTTTCAAAGGGGGAAAAATTTTTTAAATTTAAGTAAAATTTTTCAATTTGGGGAACCATTTTTTTTTCTGAAAATTTTAATTTTAAAAAAATTTTGTTTGAAGTTTTGGTAAAAATTATTTTAAAAAAAACCCCAAAAAAGCGGGCAGTGTTCCCCTTTTTTTAAAATTTGTGGGAAGGTTGGGAAATTATTCATTCATGGGCTCGTGCATGGTCTTGGGATTAAATCGGGCTTTTTGGGGGTTTTCCCCCCTTTTTAAAAAACCCCCGAATCTTCTGCAGGGGGAAACCAAAAACAATTTCCCAGGGGGCCCCGGGGTTTAAATTTAAAAACCTTACCCACCTTCTGGGGGGGGAAAATTAAAACACTTTTAATTTTGAAATGGAAATTTTAAAAATTTTTCCCCTGGGGGCTCTCTGAGGTGGTAACACCTTAAACTTTCCCTCTGAAGTCTCCCGACGGGGACACCCCAAACACTCCCCATCTGGAAGCTTCCTGGACAAAAGGGGCTTAAAACCCCCCCCCAGAACTCCCCACAGGTGGTAACCCCAAAACCCCCCCATCTGGAACTCTCAAAGGTTGGGCCCCCTCAACATCACTATCTGGAAGCTCTCTTGACAGGTGGCAGCACCTCAACACTCACCTATCTGGAAGCTCTCCTGACAGGTGGTAACACCTCAACACTCACCCATCTGGAAGCTCTCTTGACAGGTGGTAACACCTCAACACTCACCTATCTGCAAGCTCTCCTGACAGGTGGCAGCACCTCAACACTCACCTATCTGGAAGCTCTCCTGACAGGTGGCAGCACCTCAACACTCACCTATCTGGAAGCTGTCCTGACAGGTGGTAACACCTCAACACTCACCTATCTGGAAGCTCTCCTGACAGGTGGTGGCCACAATGTCATTAATCTCAAACTGTGGCATCCTTAAGTCCTTGTACATCTTGACTGGTCCTTCAGCCTTCCACTGCAGACTCAACTCCTTCATCGTCTTCGAAA